ACTTAACAACAACAACAACAATGGGAAAAGAGAATGCAAAAACTTAATAGCATCAGCTAAAATAAGGCAAGGGACCAGTTGTGGAATAGACCATCAATTGCTAATATGCAAGTTTGGCGGTGGTTCTATACCGTGGAGTCAGTTCCAACTCAAAGCGTTCTGAGGCTGTAAATCTTTATGGGAGCAGAAAGCCTCATCTTTCTCCCATTGGACAACTGGAAGTGTCGAACTACTGACCCTGAGGTTAGCAGCCCAATTCCTAACCACTATGCTAGGAGAGCTCCTTTGTGCAAGTTTAGGGCCACTATTAGTTTCATCTGACTAGGTGACACATAACAATAACAACAACAGAATAAAGTTCAAGAAGCCTCATTGCAGGTTGTCCTGCATTCAGTGATCCTCAGTCTTCATATGGCAAAGCAGTTCAAGCCTTGCATGATAATCAGAGAATTCTTCAGGCCATGCTACAAACTGTAGCTTTACATGTAAAAGGACTCATTAATAGCCCTGAGTAAAAGATAAAAGTTGATTAAAGGTATTCAATATAGAAAAAAATATATGAAGTGTATTTATTTCTTTTTTAAATGTGTTTTAATAGTGTGTAATCTGGAATGTCTAAAAATTCCCTATTTTCTCATCAAAATGAAAATCAGTTAAAAATGTAGTTTGCCATTTGCTCACAAATTTTCAGTGGCCAGTATAACCCAGTATAGATCCGTTTTAGATCAGAGTGCTCCTTGGAGGCCAAGATGGCCAAACTTCGTCTCCCATACTTTGGACATATTGCTAGGAGGGACCAGTCACTGGAGAAGTGAGGCGGAGGGTCAGAGAAAAAGAGGAAGACCCCCAAGGAGATGGATTGGCCAAGTGGCACCATCGATGGACTCAAGTGTGGCAACAGTAGTGAAGTTGGCCCAGGATCGGGCAGTGTTTCGTTCTGCTGTGCATAAGGTTGCTATGGGTTGGTACCGACTAAATGGCACCTAACAACAACAACAAGTATAACCCAGTATGTGTTTCAGTATCAGGCTGTACTCTAGTCAGAAAGGGCTGCTGAATAAGAAGAAAAAAATATGATACCCAAAATTGCCATTTCACTAATTTTTTATCCTTTTAGTAATATCATTTTTTATATGGTATAATAATTAAAGTTTACCAGTGTTATGTTTCTTATTCTGTTTTACAGGAACACCAGTGTATTCAGTAGCATGGGGCCCTGATTCAGAAAAAGTTCTTTACACAGCAGGCAAGCAGCTGATCATTAAACCTCTTCAACCAAATGCTAAAGTTTTACAGGTACTTCTCAGGCATTTGCAAATTGTTTTCAGGATCTGTCAGACTGCTAGGAGAGAAGGCACTTTCTTAGGAGTCTCTTCTGGGTGGTCTTTTTACCATCTGAGACCTTTTATTATGTGAATTTCTCAGCCTTTATTAAGGAACAGGAACAGGAAATATCTGGCTATATTTCCATCTAGGTTTACTTCCTTTTTATTCCAACTCACATTTTACCAATAAATCATAAATATATTTTGAATTACAAAATTGTCACTTGATTTGGTCCAAGTAGGCATCTTTAAAAATAGCAGAGTCAGCCTCTGATATATAGGTTTGAGACAAAAAAAGGACTAAATCATAAAATTTTAAGAGCTGGTGTAGACTTTGTAAAAAAATCTTCCTCCTCATCTGTTTAATACACTTGAGTTCTCTCTATGGCTATTGTTCTTTTAATATTTTTAGAATGAAAGAAGAGTCAATGTAATATTTAAAGCAAATTAAATATATATAATTTCCCCAATTATTGAGAGAATATTTATCTTAAGGATAATACTGTTTCACGTTATTCAGAAAGGAACAGTTATGCTATGAGATGAATCTTGAAGAGGACAGAAGATTGTTCTAAGTCCAGGAAACAAGAAAAATGATTGTTTACTGTCTCAGTTATTTAGTACTGCTGTAACAGAAATACCATAAGTAGATGCCTTTAACAAACAAATTTATTTTCTCACAAACAAAACGAATTTATTTTGGAGGCTAGAAGTCTTAATTCAGGGTGCTGGCTCTGAGGATAGTTTTCTCTGTGGGTTCTTCTGAACTTCTACTCTTGAAAGTTTTCTCTCTTTGCTAGCTCTTTTGAGCTTCTACTCCTGGGTGATCTTCATGTGGTTTGGCTTGTCTCTTGCTCCATCTCCTGTTTGCTTGACTTAAACCACATTCTATGTTAATCTATGTTAGCATAACATAGAAAACCCATTCCCAAATGAATGTATAACCACAGACATAGATCAGGATTCACACCATTTATTTTGTGGGGGACATAATTCAGTCTGTAATATTTGAGAGAAAGGGGCAAACAAAGAACCCACAAAAGCAAGTAAAACAGTGCTGGCAGTTAAAATAGGTCAGGATTGGTCAAATTATGGAATACTTTTAAGTCTATGTCCACAATTTTGATGGTTGATTCCACTGATAAAAGGCAGAATCATTTTCTTTCCTTTTTGATAATGACACCGTGTATAACTTAAATGGGTGACAGGCTTTGAAGTTAGTCCCCTGTGTTCAAATCCCCACTACATGGTTTATTACCTGTTTGTGTCCTTAGGCAAGTTTTGAAATATCTTAGAGTCTCAGATTTCTCATCTCCTATGGTTTCTCATCTCATCTGCTAATATCTACTTGATAGAATTGTTGTGAGGATAAATGAGTTAAATTGCAAATTGCATAGGACAGTGTCTGTCATAAAGTAAGCATTCACTATAGAGAAGTTATTAATTCTGTTTTGAATTATTATGTCATCTCTATGTTTTAGTCAGAAGTCCCTGAATGATGCAAACAGTTAATGTATTTGGCTACTAGTAAAAAAGATTCAGTGAATTATTTTATGTATATTCTGTTGTTGTTGTTATGTGCCATAGAGTCAGTTCTGACTCATAACAACCCTGTACAGGGTTTCTGAGGCTGTAAATCTTTACGGGAGCAGAATGCCTCATCTTTCTCCCGCGGAACAGCTGGTAGTTTCAAACTGCTGACCTTTATTATATTCTGTATATTATGTATATAGCCTTTGTAAGTTCCCACCAAATGATTTTTTCCAGATGGATCTTGGTTAGAAAATGTGTAGGAAGATTCCGATGGATTATATGATTCATTTGTGAGTGATTATTAAAATTGTGATCCGTCAATTTTGCTATCCTGCTGAGTATAAAATGAGCCATCTCAGAAGCAGAGAAGGATCTTAATACCAACTGGAAGAGCAAAGAAGGGAGCATGTCCTTTGGATGCTGAGATCACTGTGCATGACCTTTCTTAACCAGAAGATAGAGCAGTAATATCAGAGGAGTCGCAGCAACAGAACCAAGAGCTAGACCTTGAGACATAGTGGTGGGTTTTCTGGCCCACAGAGCAGGTAAAGCTGAGTGCCTCCAGGCACTTAATTGGAGAGCTAGGTTTGCTGACCCAAGGAGCATGACCCGAGTACCTTCTGATGGAGGATTTTAGTAGAGTGCAATACTTTTAGGCATCTATCAGCAGCCCTAAAAGAGGTTTGTGACATTACTGGAGCAGAGCAGAGGCCAAGGGCCCTAATGGTTGAGAGACCAAGGACTAGAGAGAGGCATGCCTTCAGGCGTATCTGTAAAGAGACTGTTCTGACTGAACTGTGCCCTGAGCATTTCTAATCCTTAATTTTAACTTGTTAACCTCCTTAGTAAACCCACAACTGTGAATATGGTGTTTGAATTCTGTGTGGTCATTGCAATAAATTATCAAACCTGGCTTAGTGCTGTGGGAGGAATAGTTGCTTCCATTTATTTCACAACCCAAATGTGCCTCTGAAGAAAAGTTTAGTGATCTACTTCCAAAAATTCAGCCATCGAAAATCCTATGGAATACAGTTCTTTGACACACATAGGGTCTCTATTAGTTGTTGTTGTTATGTGCCGTGGAGTTGGTTCCAACTCATAGTGACCCTGTACAGGGTTTCCGAGACTAAATCTTTGCGGGAACAGAAAGCCTCATCTTTCTCCTGCGTAACAACTGGTAGTTTTGAACTGCTGACCTTGTGGTTTGCAGCTTGGTTCGTAACCACTACGCTACCAGAGCTCCTTTTGTATTAGTAGGAAGGGGGGAAAAAACAAAAAGACTGATTAGCGTCCTAATCAGTCTTTAATAAATTAGAGCCAGGGAGGCTAGGAAAAAAGTGTAAATGGGTAAGGTATTTGGTGGTGGAGATTGTGTTGCCACAACAGATGTAAAAATGTTGTAAGAAAAAACATCAGGTTTAACAGTTAAAAAGATGTAAATCTGTAGGAGTAAAGAGACAGAAATGACCTTGAGAACGCATATTGGTAGCTTTTATATATATTATGCAAATGTCAGTTCTGATATAAGTCAACTACCTTCTTTTTTTAAAAATTTCCTTATTATTTTAATTTTAGTATCTATAAATTTCAACATTTGACATCTTCAAGTGAACATCTGAAAATGACAACATTAGCAAATTAACATTGTGGTGGTTATGTGCCTTGGAGTTGGTTTTAACTCATAGCAACCCTTTATAGGGTTCCCAAGGCTGTAAATCTGTACAGGAACAGAAAACCTCATCTTTCTCCTGTAGTTTTGAACTGCTGACCATGAGATTAGCAGCCTGACTCATAACCACTATGCTACCAGAGCTCCCTAATGATGAGGTGTACCCCCCCCAAAAAAAAGATCCTAAGTGTGGTTTATTCTAATTTGAATACATCCTAAGTCTGGACTACCTGTATATATTTACCTATAGTCAACATGCATTTAGATTTTAAACTGTGAGTGCAAAGCACTCTTCTAAGAACTTTGGGGACAAATAAATAAAATATAAAGTTCTTGCCCTTAGGCAATTAAAGATAAAGATTTGGGGCAAAGATAGTAAGCTGCAAAAGAGGACTAGCTTTGACTGGCTTTAGGCAAAGTCCTTCCATACCAATCATGGATACTCTGAAAATCTGCTTTGAAATTATATGGCAAAAACAAGCAAGTTGATTGATCTTTTTATTTTCACCTATAATTATGTGAATTGTTGTAAGTGCTGAGTCGATTCTGATTCATAGTGACCCTGTATAGGGTTTCTGAGGAGTGGCTGATGTTGTTGAACCACTGACCTTGCAGTTCAAACTGACCTTGAGGTCAAGTGCTTATCCTGCAGCACCACACCAGGACTCCATACTTGTATTTAGTTTATTCTGTATCTGAGACTTAGGACGGTATTTATATCACCACTGATGAATAAAGTTATGGTTTAGGGGTTCATTAGATCCTTTGGGTCAGGAGCTAGTGTAGAGAAGAAAAAGTATGTATTGCCAAAATTCAGCTAGAGTGGAAGAGGAGTTAAGTATAATTATTAATTTAGTATAAATTATTCCTTTAGGAAAACTAGAAGTACAGCAATTTTTCTTGAACCCGTTTTCAAACTGAGGTTGTCCACAAAAAGGAATGCACAATTCTTATGCAATGCAGCTCAAAAGTAGACACCTCATTTCCCATAAGATTTTTAACATATCTCCTAGGTACCCAGAACTGACTTTTATAGTGAGAATACTTTTATTTATTCATTCATAAAAATGAATCTAGTATATGCCAGATACTGAACTAGGTGTAAGATAAAGTGGAACTGAGCATATTTCCTGCCTGCCAGTAAGTAGCTCTTTGCTCAAGAAGTTTCATAAAATAACCAACACATTGAGAAGTAATTGAAAATGTACTATGCATTTTATGTAATATGTTAAAGATATACTTAATATATAAACTGAGGTCCTAAATTATATCTTTATGTTATAATTTGATAATTTAAATTATAATATTTCAATCATATTTTGTTCATAAATTTTGAATATGCAAAACAAATTTTGTAACTCTCATAAGAAACATTGACACTCATTGTGTGTGTGTATTTTTCCTGGTAGTATTTTGGACAATATGATTAATTTATAAGATAATTCTGAAGATTAATGCTTTTTGACATGTTGCAGGCATACCTCATTGTATTGTGTTTTGCTTTATTGCCCTTTGCTTTATTGTGCTTCACAGATATTGCATTTTTATAAATTGAATGTCTGTGGCAGCAAATCTATGGGTGTGTCTCCATCACATTTTGATAATTTTTGCAATCTGTGTAGGGTTTCCGAGGAATAAATGGTGAGTTTGAACTGCCAGCCTTGTAGTTCAAACCGACCTTGTGGTCCAGTGCTTATCCTACAGCACCATACCAGGACTCTATACTATAATATAGGACAAGCATAATTTTTATACACACTCGGAAACAAATAGTGTGACTTGCTTTATTGTGGTATTCTGGAGTCAAACCCTTATTATTTCTGAGGTATTTGAAAGTATACCTTTCAAAAACAAATGATTTTTAAAAACTCATTTGTTTTTGAATCCCCACTGAATAGCTTTCATCTTGTCTAGACAGGTATGGTGAAAGGAGATAGGGATAAGATTTTTATGATTCAATAGTGAGTAATTGCTATGACTAATTGTGACTGTCACAACTGTAAAGGTAGAAGTTTCGTAACGAAAAGGGGGGAGCTCTGATAGCGTAGTGGTTACATATTGGGCTGCTAACCTCAAGGTCAGCAGTTCGAAACTACCAGTTGTTACGCGGGAGAAAGATGAGGCTTTCTGCTCCTGTAAAGATTTATAGCCTCGGAAACCCAGTGCAGGGTCACTATGAGTTGGCACCGACTCCACGGTACTCAACATCAACAACAATTAATCTTATAGTCCAGGAACAGAGGACCCTAGGACCATCAAGGGAAAAGAGCATGAGTAGAATGTGGGACCCTATCCAGAATAGCAGCGACACCAGAGAAGGAGGCAGAGATGAGAACATGGAGAGATAGTGCAGCTGAGGACTCTAGACTCGTGGAAAGAGAAAGGTTGTGTGCTGTGGCCAGGAGGCAGGCTTGCGGAATGTGGCCTTTGGTAGTTGAAGTGATTATATATTACTGAGTATTTTTGTGTATATCCCACCCCCCCAAAACAAAACAAAACAAAGCAGAGGGAATAGAAGTAAACACTGTTGAGTGATGATGTACGAAGAAGCAAATACTGTTGAGTGATGATGCATGAAGGAGATTGTAATCATTGCAATGAAATGATGAGTGTAAAACTGATGTTCTCACATGTAAACTATCACTCAATTCACAGTAAAAACTTATAAAAAATCATTTGTTTTTGAAAGATATACTTTCATAGATCTTGAATAAAACAAATGATAAATTGTTGCATAGTCTTAGATCTTATTTGAGCAAGTTTAATATTTATTCTTATATTATACAGTAATAACACTAGGTTAGGAAGAGTTTGTAACGAAAGCTACATGTTCTCATCTCTGCCTCCTTCTCTGGTGTCACTGCTTTTCTGGATAAGGCTTCATCTTTTAGATGAAGTTAGTTAGCTCCTGCTTAAAAATGTACTTTGTAGTCTTAAAGGAAAGGTAATTATTTTTTTTTGTTATATGATTCTGCCTAAATATGGTGACAGTTTTTAATTACATCAGTTTAATTGCAGGAAGACAGTCTTGCTTTCTTTTTATATTGACAAGTTTCTGGGTTACTTCAGAATGCTTTCTTACATGGTAAGTGCAGCAAGAAGTTCTTAAAATACACCATTCTCTTTACCTTCACTGTGAACCAAAACACAGTGAAGGTATAGAGAAAAGTTTAGAGGGCTATGTAGAAGCGAATGAAGAAAATACTGAAGAAAATGTTAGGATAAAAGGAATTAGTAAACAGCCAGTAGGATAGTATCAGTAATGGGACCAATTGTACAATGGTGACAGTGAGATTTGGATTCAACTAACATTTCTGGAGTATATGATACTGACTCTAGTATTATCACATAAATGTCAAGCTTCAAATAATTCAACAGCAAGTGATTTTCCATCTGTAGTCTTAGGCAACTGAGGAAATTGTTTAGGATGTGAGCTACATAGTGGAGGCATGGAGCTAGGTGCTTTCGTGAGTATGTATTAGAAACAAAATAAGATATTACACAATGGTTTTAAAAAAGGGATAGGAATTCCTGAGGAGAAGACCACAGAATAATCATTAGAAACAGGCATTGTCTTTTCTCATAGAAAATATTTCTCAGTTGCTCTAAGAGTTACATCTTTTTTTTTTTTTTTTTTTTTCCCCTCATAGTGGAAGGCTCATGATGGCATTATTTTAAAAGTAGATTGGAACGCAGTTAATGATCTTATTTTATCTGCTGCTGAAGATTGTAAATATAAGGTATGTAATGTTTGAATTCATTACTTAGCTGAAAAACTCAAATTTGGGTAAAAAGTATTTAGCATATAAGAATATTAATTTATTTCCTTCTTTAACCATGTCTTTTAACTCAAATTGTTTAGTAAATTGTTATTTTATAAGTTCAACAGGTATTTAATAATTTTAATGTGTATTTTAAATTTCTGACTTTATAAAGACTATCTCATTGACATATAGAATTTGATTTAACAAGTAGCAATAGAATTATAGTTACTAGTTTTAGTGACTCAATGTGAATCAATCTATTTAATAAGTTTTTAAAAGTCAACCTTACGAGTTGATCATCCTCATACCAACATAGTTTGTGAGGAAGAATGAGATTTAATATAACTATAGTTAGAAAAAATGTGGCTGAAATAAACATTTCTAAGGAAAGTTGATAGGGCACTTCTTGGACAAGGAAAAAATTAAGCAAAACACTGAAGATTGCCTAGGGGCTCAGGACCATAGTCTCTGGGAATGCCATGGGTAATTGGTCTGACAGGGTCCACAAAGACAATGAAAACATACTGCTTTGGTGAATAGTTACTGGGACCTTGAAGCTTATGAGTGGCCATCTAAGATGTAACTGTTGATCTCTCCATATCTGGAGGAAAGAAAAGTGATGAAAATGAAGACACTTGAAAACAATCCAGTCGACTAATGGACCACCTGAACATCAGTCTCCATGGCCCTGAGACCAGAAGAACTAGATGATGCCTAGCTACCACTTCAAACTGCTCTGAAAGGGATCACATTAGAAGGTCCTGGATAGAGTGGAAGAAAATGTGGAACAGAACTCAAAATCGTAAAAAAGACCAGGCTTACTGGTCAGATAGAGACTAGTGGAATCTGATACTATAGCCTTTGGTCACACCTTAGTTGGAGTTGAACTTACCCACATGGCTCAATTTTCAGCCAAACAATATTTAGGTATATAGGGGGGACAGTAACACTAATGCGGTATGCACACCATAGAATACCTCAACCATTTGAGATCAGAAGTGCAACCTTTATGTAAGGACAAAATTCATAAGAGTTGGTAAAGGTGGAATGTGATAGTTAAGGTTTTGTGTTAACTTGACTGGGCCAGAATTCCCAGTGGTTTGGCAATTGAGATATGGATGTCCCCTTGGTGAAACCTAATACAGGCATAGTTAACTCTATGATGATTGGCTGTGAGTGGCCAGTCAACTGAAAGGTTGTTTCCATGGGGGTGTGACCTGCTTCCAATATAATGGACAAACACGAAAGGCTGGGGACGTGGGACTCTACAATTGTGAGCCATTTCCTTGATATAAACATATATGTTTGCTTCTCTTAGTGAACTCAGACTAAGACAAGGAGGAGTGGAAATAGGAAACACAATGAAGAAATGGGAAAGTGATGTTACATTGAGGGGATTGTAATCAGTGAGATGAAATGACGATTTTAAAACTTCTGAAATTAAATTAAATTTTTTATTATGCTAAAAACATGTATTACGAAGCGTTTGACGTTTCAATGCCATTTCAACATTTTTTACATGGACAACTCTGTAAAATTAATTACATTTTTCATATCCTCTCCATCAGCACTATCCATTTCTAAATGTTTCTATTATCCTTAATAGAAGCTCAGTGTCCTCTAAACAGTCACTCCCCATGAGGACTCATACCCTAGTAAACTGTGTAAACTTTGGTTGCTATACACTTGCCAACATGTTGAATTGAAGTATGTATCAGGACTTCATTTCTCTTTATGGCTAAGAATCCACTGTATGTGTCTACCACATTTTGTTAATCCATTTAATATATTGATGAATTTTTTTGGTTGTTTCTACCTTTGCTATTGTGAATAATGCTGCAATGAATATTGGTGTACAAGTCTCTGTGTACCTGCTTTGATTCTTTGTGGCATATACCTAGAAATAGAATTGCTGGATCATATGGTAATAGTGGAGTCTTGGTGGTGCTGTTGGATAAGCACTGGTTTGCTAACCACAAGGTCAGCGGTTCAAACCTACAGACTCAACAGCACTTTACAACAACGTGGTAGTATATGTTTAACTTTTTGAGAAACTGAGATCTGTTTTTCACCATTTGCAAGGAGCTCTGATAGTGTAGTGGTTACGAGTTGTGGTCAAAACTTTCAGTGGTTGCGCGGGAGAAAGATGAGGCTTTCTGCTCCCATAAAGATTTACAGCCTCAGAAACCCTATACAGGGTCTCTATGAGTCAGAACCAACTCCATAGTACATAATCCCAACCAACCATACCATTTATAATTCTATCAGGAATGGAAGAGAGTCCCAATTTCTCCACATCCTTGCCAACATTTACTGTTTTCTGATCACAGATATAGTAGAGGTGAAATAGAATTGTGATTTGCATTTTTCTAATGACTAAAGAGCAAGGTGACTCTGTAGAACAAGCACTGGACTGCAAACCATAGAGTTGAGCCCACCAGCTGCTCCATAGAAGAAAAATACTGTTTTCTGCTCTCACAAAAATTTACAGCATCGGAAACTATATAGGGTTGCTGTGAGTCAGAACCAACTCTGTGGCACTTAACGAAAATATCAGTGTTGGCCATGTTTTCATGTGTTTGTTGGGTATTTATATATCTGCTTTGTTGAAGTATCTATTAATATTAAGTCTTTTGCTCATTAAAATTTATTTTTGTATTTTTGTTGCTGAAAATATGAAATTTAAAAGGACTTAAATGGGTTTGTTTTATGTTTAATGAAAGAGTTAGTGAAATCTGAAAATTAACCACAGTATTATAAAATCTCTTCTTTTTGAGATACATAGGATTCAAGGAATACTGTTTTTTTCCTTGCATTGAGAATAAAATTAATTAATTGCTAATATTATGAGATGCTGATTTCTGAGTCTTTACTTGATACTTTAGTCGATGGTAAATTTGTTTGTAAAACTATGATGGCTATTAGAAAACAGTAAAAAAAAAAATGTTTGTATTTGTAGGTGTGGGATAGTTATGGCCGCCCGCTGTACAATTCACAGCTTCATGAGCATCCTATTACCTCTGTTGCCTGGGCTCCAGATGGAGAGTTATTTGCTGTTGGATCGTTTCATACTCTACGCTTGTGTGATAAAACAGGGGTAAGTTATAGTGGTGAGCAGTCACAGATATGCCGTCATAAATGTGGAATGCACAGAACACATGGTTCTCAATCTTTAAAAAGCATTTTCAACGAATACATCTGACTGAGTCTTCCTTATTTGTCATCTTAATGTACTGGTTCAATCAATTCCAGATTTAAAGAACCATATGAATTCCATTAGTATTAAGAATGGGCATGTTCTCTACTATTTGTCTTTCTGGAAATACTTATTTTGAACATGATTCTGAAGGATGGATAAAGTAGTTAAAAGTGTTAAAATTTATTCCCAACCAATATGGAAAGTAAAGGTTTAATCTTTTTTTCTTTTCTGCTGTTAACATGTTTTATGCAAACTTAGCTGCATATTTTTGGTAAGGAAATAATAGTAAGTAAGAAATATGGTGCTCTAGACCAAGTGACATCTGTCTATTTGTCAGAAATTCATATTTGAGTACATGTGAAAATTTTTCCTCAAAAGAGAATATGCCTACTTCAGGCAAATTCTGTTTAGAACCTATATCTGTCTAGGCACATAGCCAAATTCAGCAATATTTATCCATTGTTCATGAGGCATGAGTGCCCCGGAAGCAGCAGCATTGTGTGGCAAAAAGAGGTTGAGTGAGGATATTCTATATTACTAGTAACTATGAAGAAATCATATAATTGTGGCTCATTATCTTCAAAAGTGCAGTATAAGACAGTGAATTTATAATTTTTTAAACTTTATAAGTGATCTAGGAAGCAGTGACTCCATAGCCTAAGCACTGGACTGTGAGCTACAAGGTTGGCAGTTGAACCCACCAGCTGTTCTGTGGGAGAAAGATTTTTTTTTTCTACTTCCGCAAACATTTAAAGCCTCAAAAACCCTATACATGGTCACTGTGAGTCAGAACCGACTCAAAGGTGCTTAACAACAACAACATAAGTGATTTATTAAGTATTCTGCTTTTGTTTTCTAGCTCTTAAAACATAAGATCCTCTACTTGGCTTTGCCACTGGCATTTTAAATACCAGCAAGGTCACCCCTGGTGGACAGGTTTCAGTGGAACTTCCAGTCTAAAAAAAGTCTAGGAAGAAGGAGAGGTGGACCATTTCTCAATGGTTAGCCTCTGAAAATCTTTCTGAATACCAGTGAAATATTGTCAGTTATAATGGCAGAAGATGAGCCTCTCAGGTTAGAAGGCACTCAAAATATGACTGGAGAAGAGCTGTACCTCAAATTAGAGTTGATCTTAATGGTGTGAATGGAGCAAAACTTTTGGGGCCTTCATTTGCTGATGGGGTAAAACTCAAAATGAGAAGAAACTTCTGCAAATACCCGTAACTGATTGGAAGTATGCATTTAGGAAAATTGGAAGTTGTCAAAAATGAAATGGAATGCATAAAGATTTACAGCCTAGGCATTAGTGAACTGAAATGAACTGATATTTGCCATTCTGAATCTGCTAATCACATAGTTTACCATGACATCACATTCATCGTCAAAAAGAATATTTCACAATCTATCTTGACGTGCAGTGCTGTCTGTGATAGTATAACATCCATACATATGCCTACATGGAAGATCAGTAATATCATATTCAAATTTATACACTAACAACTAAAACCAATGGTGATGAATTTTTAAAAATTCTATCAACTTCTTTAGTCGAAAATTGATCAATCAAGATGCATTGGTAATTACTGGTGATTGGAATGGGAAAGTAGGCAACAATGAGGAAAGATCTAGAGTTGGAAGAAGTCAAGGCTCCAGGAATTACTAATACAAATTGAAATGTTTCAACACACTGATGTAGCACTGGTGGCGAGGCTTTGTCTTATACTTTGGACATGTTGTCAGGAGGGATCAGTCCCTAGAGAAGGACGTCATGCTTGGTCAAGTGGAGGTTCAGTTAAGTGTCATCAAATTGGTTTGTACTCACATCAACCTGAGAAGCAACTGTGAGTTTAAAATGCTGACCTTGCAGTTCAAACAGACTTTGTAGTCCATTGCTTCTCCTACAGCGCCACACTAGGACTGTATGGATATTACGGTATCAGTGACACTATTGTACTTTAGAATAGATCTTGAAATGTTCTTTTTAGCAATTTTTGGTTCTTAGCATAGTAGACCATCTGATTGTTTGATTCAGAATGGCCAATACTAACCCATTTTAGCTTACAAAAACACAGAGCATTGATTTTCATGCTTTCTATTTAATTTTTGACTGTTTCAAAAATTTTAGATTCATACTTGGTATATCCCGTGTTCCAATTACTAATAGATGTTACAGCTATTTTTCCGCATTCTGAGTCATGCCACATTAGCAAAAGAAGTCCCCAGAAGCTTTCCTCCATCCACATCATAGCCAATGGTCAATGCTCAGCCATTCAAGAGGTAGAATGTGATTGAGAACCAATGGTACTGAAGGAAGAATACAAATTTCACTGAAGGCATTGGCCAAAAACAAGGCTCCAGGAATTGACAGAATTCAAATTGAAATCTTTCAATAAACTAATGCAGCACTGGAGGTATTCAATCATCTATACCAAGAAATTTAGAAGACAACTATGTGGCCAATCGATTGAAGAGATCCACATTTGTGCCCATCCAAAGAAAGATGACCCAACAGAATGTGGAAATCATTAAACAATATCATTAATATCGCATTAAAGTAAAATTTTGCTGAAGATAAATTAAAAAACTATTTTAGTAGTACGTTGACAGGGAGCTTCCAGAAATTTAAACTAAGTTCAGAAAAGGATGTGGAATAAGGGATATTGTTACTGACATCAAATGGATCTTGACAGAAATCAGAAAATGCAGAGAAGTTTACTTGTGTTTTATTGATTTAAGCAAAGGCTTTCTACTGTGTGGATCATGACAAATTTTGTGAAGAATGGGTATTCCAGAGTACTTACTTGTGCTCATAAGCAGCCTTTACATAGACCAAGAAATAGTTATTATAACAGACAAGGTGATATTTAATGGTTTGAGATCAGGAAAGGTTGTATCCTTTCACCATATTTATTCTGTCTGTACACTGAGCAAATAATCTGAGAAACTGGATTATATGAGAAGAATGTGGCATCAGGTGTGGAAGAAGAGTCATTAACAACCCGAGATATGCAGATGATACAACCTTGCTTGCTGGAAGCAAAGATGATTTAAAATAACTTATTGATGAAGATCAAAGATTCCAGCCTTCAGTATGGATGCACCTCAATGTAAAGAAAACAAAAACCTTTATAACTGGACCAATAAATAGCATCAAGATAAAGGGAGTAAAGACTAAAGTTGTCAAATACTTCATTTTGCTTGGATCCACAATCAACATTCATGGAAGCAGCAGTCAAGAAATCAAATGACATATTACATTAGGCAAATCTGCTGCAAAAGTTATCTTTAAAGTGTTATAGAACAAAGATGTCACTCTGAGAACTGAGGTGCACCTGACCTAAGCCATGGTATTTTCATTTGTCTCATATACATGTGAAAATTGAACAATGAATAAAGAAGACTATAGAAGAATGTGATGCATTTGAATTATGGTGTTGGAGAAGAATATTAAAAGTACTATGGACTACCAGAAGAGCAAACAAATCTGTCTTCGAAGAAGCCTAGCCAGAATGCTCCTTAGAAGCCTGGATGGTGAGACTTCACCTCTTATAATTCGGACATGTTATCAGGAGGGACTCGTCCCTGGAGAAGGATATCATCTTGATAGAGAGGGACAGCAAGAAAGAGGAAGCTTCCCAATAAGAAGGATTGACATAGTGGCTGCAACAATGGGCTCAAGTGTAATAAACAATTGCGAGGATGGTGCAGGACCAGGCAGTGTTTCATTCTGTTGTGCACAGGATAGTTGTGAGTCAGAGGTGAATCCATAGCACCAAACAACTACTGTGAGGAGGCAGCTCTTTCTCAGTCAAATTTTGAGTGCCTTCCAACTTGATGGGCTCATCTGCTAGCACTCTATCAGACAGTGTTCTGGTGGGTGCTGTTTATAAGCTTTTTTTCAGAGGTTAGTTTTTTAGAAGTGTACTGCCTGTTCCTTGTATATAATAATAATAATATGTCTGGAAACTCTGCTGAAGCCTGTGCACCCTGCTATTATTTGCAGCACCTGTGGCATAGCTTCCAGCATCACAGCAACACACAAACCATAACTAGTAGATTAATTTATAGTTACTGATTTATTATAATTAGAAAGGATATATATGAAAAGGCATGTAGGGCATGGTCCAGGAGGGATCGCAACTTAGAACTTCCATGTTCTAGCCATGTAGGAAGCCCCATCTGAGCCTCTGTGTTCTAGGGTTTTCATAAGCCAGTCCACCTACTTCTTTGTCAGCTACCAGGCTGGCTCCCTAGCCAAACTGGTGTCTCAAGGGTTGTCAGTTACTTGGGGGAAATCCCCTAAATTTCTTTTTTAAAGCCAAGGGCAAAATGCCACAAGAGGGAACTTGTTACACCAGAGTTATATTAAGCACAGCACTGTAAAAGTGTGACAGGAGAGTTATATTAAGCACAGCGCTGTGAAAGTGTGACAGAGCCTACCTCTGTCTACAGAATATTGATTGGAAAGACTTTCTAATGGCAATGATGTTTGAGCTGAAGCTCAAAGAATTAGTTCTACAAGAAGCAAGATTGGAGGAAAGGGATTGCAAGCAGAAGGAACCTCTTGTGCATCAAAATTTGAAAAAGCATTGTGATTTTGTGTTAGTAAGATTTTGCATGGAATAATACCAGATGATAGAGAAAAGATATTCTAGACCAGATCCATGTTTGCCATATTAAAAAGTCTAGATTTTCATCTTTAGAGTAGTGGTTTTATAATTATTTTCCGTGGAGCCTTGTTTGACCTTGATTTAAGGTGGAAAAGAGGTGAGAGATTTGTGTTTCTGGTCCCCCTCGATGCCTACAACTAGAGAAGCTACATACTGATCTGATCTGCTTGAGCATCCATTGTAATATTTCTTTTGGACAAAAAGTTCCACAATGAAAACAATAATGTA